TTATTTGGTTGGCGTGCATTAGCCGTCTCCGTACTCCTGCAGAGTTTGTGTGCGTGTCCAGTTAATTTAGGGAATGTTGAAATTTAAACTTTTGCTTTTGTGGGTGAATATTCGGTATTGTGAACAAACAGAAATGAGAGCCAAGCCCTAGCGGTAAATCTGTGCACATCAAAGGGCGTTAACATCGTTTTTATTTTGTTCTGCAGGGCTCGCACCCATAGACGCTTTTATTGAGGGCAATTGGGCAGTTATTGCGCTAGTTTTCACGAAATGTTGTCGACCCAAATTATTTCCGTCCTCATACTGAGTAGTTATAATTATTCATTACTAAGTGCAAAATTATTTTATATTAGTTTTTGATACAATACGTAGTTTCTACATAATTTATTTTGGACGATATTCCCGGACTGACAACCTGTGTACTCAAAGTGATTATCAATATGTACGATATAGAATGACTGAATGAATGAATGAATGAATGAAATAGCAGTGGTGACCGGCTTAGATGGCACAGGGCATCAATTGATGTCACTACAGTATTATTACGTTCTCCTTTCTATTCGTATATTTACTTCATAAAAAAATACAATGTCTTTGAAAAATTTTAAACCGTGTATTTCCCAACTGTCCCAATTCGGTACATAGCAACATACACATCCAAAACATACAAGAGTAGTTCTGTACTTGAAGACGTACTCTGGAGTCTCGCCATCTGATAAATAAACAACATGAGCAGGTTGTTGTTATTATCCGCAACTCCTCTCAACATACTGTGCCTCTGACGGACAGGTCCTACGGTTCGAGTGCCGACGATGGCTGTATTTTCAACATTAGCTACATAGCCAGGTCGAACTCAGGACCTGTGTGGAGGAGAGTTCGAGCAGCAGACTGCTCTGATCAGTTTCTCCGAGCGAATACAGGAGCAGTACCCTCACAAACGGGCCACGGCCAGCGCTCAATATCTCCTTTCTCTTCCTTGACCTACCCTAACCCCTTACTTACACATACTTACACTTACAAGCACAACGCTACCACACATGCCAGGAGAACGGTCGGGAGATTGTAGCTTGTCCCGGCTGGGGCGGCGCCCAGCTGGTGGGAGATACCTGGTCGGGGAAAATAGCCGACGGGCAGGACGGCGCCGGACCTCCCCTTCCAGCGAGAAAACATCACCGCCACATCCCGGGATAAAAACAAGCTCTGCAGATACGTGGTTAATGCCCTTAGCAGTTGACGCACCCCGAATTACTAATCAATGAAAACAAAGATAATTCAAAGATAAAAAACAAAGATAAACAAACATTCAAATATTGATACCTGACAATATCTCTATTTATTTATCAAAATAAAAAAGGTATTTGTACTTCACCAACAATCCAATTAAAGATAATTCGAATACAATATCATTCTTCCCTCCGGAATTCCTTCTATATGATGCGGGGGATTATTTTGGTACCTGATAATTACTTCTTTCAAATTCTCTTTTTCTAATGAGTTTTTATATGTCTATTATTTTTATAGTTTGTCAAGTTACTGCTTTTTCTGCGTTACTCTCTTTTCAAATTGTTTAAGCACCAAAATATAAGTCTAAGAGTTTTAATTCATTTCAAGTATTTGTAAAAGACTTCTTGCATAAAAATCTTTCAATGGGATTCTCGAAAAGTTCAGTTAGGAATTTCTTACCTGTTTGCAATCCGTGAAACGTCTTTTAATTTCTTCGTTTTCCATTTATATCACAACCTAAATATTCAAAACGTTTTCCCTTGTTTAAATATCATGCAAAACTATCTTTATCTCATAATCAATTCAAACATCCTCAAATGAACATTAAAATATGTAATAAAATTGTTAGAGGCATTGTCTTTGCCAACAACATAGTTTATTGAAATAGCAGGTTTGGACGGTTTACTCATCGTTACCATTCTGTGCTTTAGAAACGAAAAATTTGCTCTAAACCAATATTAAAATCCTTGAAATTCATCTCCAGGACCACCGACAGTTGTTAACTTTGTACAAATGTTGCGAATAGGGCATCACAATTTGTTACTTTCTCGCATACTACTTATGTATCCTATTGAAGAGAAAAAATAGTGATGGTGCAGTAAAAAAACGGCAATTTTTGAGAGAAAAACAAGTTTAGTGGGGAACTGATACGAAAACATCTTGTCTCTATATGTCTCAAATTAAATCCTCTACTACGTTGTGTAGTCAGAATCTACGTTTTGATAGTCACTAATACCAGAAAATTGGTTTACTGCAGAATATTTATGTCAGGATTTTCACCAAAATTGATTTTCCCTGACCAACCTGGCTGACGCAAAAAAGCAGCCGAAATGTGTATATTGGTGCTTTTTTATTTGTGTTTTTCTTTCTGAACAAATACATTCATTTATTTTATAAATAATAAATAATTTACATGTTTTTGGAGTGTTTCTATGCTTCGACCATGCAAATTTTTTACTAGAAAGCATATTTTTAAACCATGTTTTGAGTGCGTCTTGGTACTAAATTGTCTCAAGAGCTTGTTTGCGCAGTTTCGACGTTTCCTCCCTCGACATCCTGTTTTCGCTTCCCATCGCTGGGTGCCATGTTTGGTCCCTGGACCATCCACTAGGGCAGTGGGTCGGGCAAAGCTACTCTCGACTGGTCTTCCCAGGCTTCATTTGTTCGTGGTTCTCATTTCTCCATCATTCACCCCATCAATATCGATGTCGTATACTCTTAAGATCACTCATGCGTTTGAACACATAAATAAATAAATACATATAAACAAATCCATTTGTAGTAGGACCACGTATTACTGTTCTTTAATATTCTTTAAGTCATCGTATTTCTACTATTAAGGGGCCAAAAAATTGAGAAAATGTGTAAAAATACATTTTAGGTGCCGATAAATTGCAGAGATTAGGAAGAGGAAAGGTCAGTACCAAAAAGCTAGATGATATTAAAAATATTAAAAAACTAACTAGTACTAGAAAATCTGTCCTATTCCGTAGCACCACCGGCTTGGTCTTAAAGTACACCACAAACTAAGGGTTGAAATTATTTGACACATGATAATAAAATACATTGCAGCCACTGATCAGCTTATAGCACCTCCTCTAAAATTCTACATGCGAAAATGTGTATAATCTAGAGAACTCCGTCGACCTAGACTGACAAATTTTAGAGGGAGGTCAGCAGGTGATGAAGACGTCCAATTTTAGGTGCAGTAAACATGCAAGTGGAGCACACGTAAAAAGCGTGCACTGCCGCAAGAGGCTCGTGTGTTGAGCGTAAGTGTTTCTTGCGGGCGAATAAACGGCACTCCAGGCGCCATAAATAGACACAATAGGGTCATGTTAAAGGTAGACGTCCACGTCTGAATACAGTTAGAGGGGGAGTCATGACGGGTAGACGAGATGACACCAGAGCTGGTGCTGTTGATGACGCCTCTGAGCATCAGTTGTACTGAACATTCATGTTATTCATTCGTAAATGTGCATGCCGTGCCGTGAGAGCCCTGACTGTGGATGAGAGGGTGGATTGGCTGGTAGACGTTCGTGCGTTGGTTTTGCTTGGGAGATGATGTACAGATGAGAAAGTACGTGAAATGTCTTAAGAGGGTGTTGTGTTTTGCAAGGAGAGACTGCTGGCGTGAGGTCAAAGACTAGCTCTAGCAAACGAGCTATGAAAAGGTGTGTACACAGGTGTAAGAGATTTACTAGGCTGTCCGGGTGACGCCGCGTCCATGGTGAAGGTACCGACGTTTCGTTCACCATTCTGCGATCTTCCTCAGGGCGTAATGCCCAGGGTATTACGGACAGCCTAGTAAATACTGACTCCGGCCGTGGAAGCCTACGCTCTCAGGTGTGAGAGAGTTTCTTCCTAAACGTTTGATGACGCTGTGTGTGCTTAGGACGAGTGTGTTAGCAGCGCTGTTGCTGAAGTTGCTATGCTGTACGTGCAATGATCATTAATTCAGTCTTTTCCATGAGCATCATTCTATGCAAAGTTATAAAGTTTTGTGTCGTGGATGTATAGTTCAATGTGTATTTATTGCGTGGACCGATTATGCTGTCGCTTGTATCAACAAGTAGATGTAATACGAGTGGTTAAATTAATATTTCAAAGGGTGTGCAATTGAAATCTTTTGTGCTGAAAGTGGTGTGTGCTCAGGTCTTGCACAGTGCTAGCACATGCCGCCAAAGACGAGTCTGAATGAACGTGATGTTCAAAGAACGACTGTTCAATGTTGAAAGTCTCTTGTGTTGAGCCTGGGCGATGCTTTGTCAGGTGCGCTGCCAGCTTGACTTTTGAAAGGCTGTGAAGAGAATATGTGAGAAATTGCACTGCATTTCAAGCCTTTGTGGTGAGCTGCGGTGTTGCTGTGTGCGGAGGGCGGGTGTGCTGACAGCCAGAGTGTCGGAACCAGACTCACCAAAGAGATGTGGATTGAAAGAGCGCGGCTTTGGGGATCCTGGATGGTGCTTTGTGCGCAGGCTGATTGTGCTGCCAGCTTCACGTTAGAAACAATTTGAAGTGAATGTGTGTGAATAGGACTGTATGTGGAACTTTCGTATTAAGCATTAAGTATGCTGAAGCAATGGTGGAAATGAACTTGAAAATATAAAAGCACCCAATTCAGTTCTCGATTAATTTTTCATTCTGAACAAATACATTCATTTATTTTATAATTATACATATATAATATAATAAACAATTTAAATGTTTCTGCAGTGTTTCTATGCTTTAGGAATGCAAATTTTTCCCTACAAATCATTCTTTTAAACACACCTTTAAGAGCTTATTGCAACTCAACTATTCGGAATATAAACCAAGTAGTTTATTAGACAAAATATGCTTAAAATTGTCTTAAGAGCTTACTTTTGAATTTTCTTTATATGTGTGTGTGTGGGGGGATGCCGTGTTGGCGTCGCCAAAGCGCTGCAGAATGAAAGAGCGAGCGATCGTTTGTGCTTGTGCGCTGATGGGCGGCTGGTGTGGCGGCGTGTGCGCAGGGTGGGCGTGCTGGCGGCGGTGCTGGTGCTGGTGCCGCTGGCGGGGCGGGCGGCGTGCGCGCACCAGCTCTGGGTGATGCTGCTGTCGTACGAGGGGCTGCTGGGCGTGGCGCTGCTGCTGGAGCTGGCCATCTCGCTGGTGGCGATGCGCGGTTCCATCCTCGACACCGCGCCGCGCGCCTCCATGCAGTACCTGCTGTATGCGCGCCTCGGTACGTACTCGCCGCGCGCATGCGCACACGCGCTGTGCGGCGATGCCGCTAGGGGGTCTACAGGTTAACAGCTGAACCGCGCCGACTAACTACTTTCAGTGGCTGTATTTCTGTGCGTGCGTTAGGCTGTGTGATATTCATTAAGTAACAATGAGGGGCATAGAGAAGAAAAATAGTAATAGGGAAGGAGGTAGTTTATTACAATTTCACGTCACACAAACGCACCTCGACCCACCTAACCACAAAATCTAAATGGTCGATTACCATGGCTTCCGATTAGTGAACGATTCTGCCGCTAGAGGCGGGTATAAGAGGTTCAGATCGATATCTCAACTGATGATTTTTTTTTCTATTGAAAGATATTCACTATTTGCAAGGGAAAAAAACATTTTAGCTTCCGTTGCGCACTGGAAGTTACTGAAAAAATAATGAATTTGGTCACAACCCTTGCTGCAGCTAACGACTCGCGCAGTGCTATCATTGTACTCTCATACAGAAAACGTACGCCTCTATGCACGACTTTTGGCTTTTATACTTTCAGTTTAGAATCTTGAATTTTCTGAACAGAAACTTTATGATAATCTGCACTAAAACTGTGCTGTGTATACTAGGCTTAGCAGTATTCAGAATTATACAGAAGTTTCACTCTCTCGAAACCTTGTACTACAAAGGGTAATAATGGTCATGTGCATTCCAAAGAGAAGGGCCTCCAGAGCCCACATCTTAAATAACTATAATTTTTTTAATGTTTGGACGGTTTTAATAATCATGTACATTGGTTTAAACAAAGCATTATTCAATTCCTAGCTATGTAAATGAATAAATATCGACATACTTATAGGTTATGTCTGACAGTTCGTTGGGCTGAAAACGGTACTCTATTTCGGTGAACATTGTATCTCAGAGTTCTAAATCTGTGGATGAATTTTGTTTATTCTTCGTAGTTTCTAGGGATTAATCGCAATTAATACCATAATTGATTACGTATGCATGAAAAGTAATAGAAGGTTGCCAAAAATGGTAACTGTATTCGCATAATGCGGGTAAACTTCGGCATCAAATTGGGTTTGTGTGTCTGTGTCGAAGAACTAGTGGCCGGAAGAATAGGCGCTGTGCCGTGCGGCAGTGCGAGCTTGTCAAGGGCGCGGGCAATGTCATTAGTTTAGATTTTTGCTGCCCTGAATTGGAACTCGTGCCCTTAGGAGTGCTTGTTCCCCAGACGGGCATTCTCTCACAATGTGCAAGGCTGCACAAGCCCCGCGGCAACTACTATTTGCGTCGTGAAAGGTGAAGAATTTTGGAATTGTTTCAATACCTTTCAGTGCGTGACGACAGCGATTTTTTTACAGCACATATAAATAGTAAATATCTACCTGTAGAAAATAATGAAGCTATAATTAGATCTGTACCTTCTGTACCTTTGACACTGGACAGTTATTCCAATGGACACTTCTCAACTTGGACATTTTCATATTTGGATATTTCGTAAATGAACACCTTGGAGCGGGCTTTTTAATGTCCATTTTCTAGTTCAGCTTAATAAAAATCCTGAATAAAAAAAGCGTATAGTGAAATAATTATGAGTCGTCATTTCCAACAATATTGTTTATTACAATAGCAGCTTTAGATAGCTTAGCCATCATCAGTTTTAGCCATCATTATCACCACAGACTAGTCGTTTTATAGCTTCCATACAGCAGAAAACTGATGATGGTGGCTAAGCCATCGAAAGTTGCTATTCTAATAAACAATATTGTTGGAAATGACGACTCATAATTATTTCACTATACGCTTTTTTTATTCAACATGCTTTATTTATTCGCGCAACATCAGTTACCTCATTTGCCGATGCATATTTACCCGTTTAAGGCTACTCGTATTCACGAACTGTTGTAAGGGTCTGCGGCATCACCAATACCAGTTGCGATAAACCGATATCCTATCTTACAGAGCAACATAGCAAACAGAACCGAATTATTGACTGTCTATAGTGTCCGAGTAGTCTATTTGCTGTGTTAGTTATAATTCAATAATACAGAATCGGAAGGCCAACATAACTCTTTGCCGGCATAACTCAACGCCTCCACTTCGCTATCATCCTTCGGCTCAGATGGCATATTGCATGGCCAATGACCTCAATCAGGCTTTGCTGTAAAGCCCAGCGAATACGGTAGTTTTTCGTGCAGTTCAGACTGCATGTTTTCTTCATGAAAAGTGTTGAATATGTTCGTAATTTTTTCATGCAGAAAGCTTACAGTTTGTCTCAATCGCCTCTAGCGGCAGAATCGTTCACCCGAAGCCATGGTAATCGGCCATTTAGATTTTGCAGTTAGGTGGGTCAAGGTGTGTTTGTGTGACGTGAAATTGTGATAAACTACCTCCTTCCCTATTTCTACTTTTCTTGTCTATGCCCCTCATGGTTGATTAATACTTAATGAAGACCGCACAGACTAACGCACGCACAGAAATACCGCCACTGAAAGTACTTGGTCGGCGCAGTTCAGTTGTTACGCGGTATATCCCCTAGAGACATCTGGCGATTCACACAGAAAACATTCGCGTCTATGCACGACGTTTGGCTTTTATACTTCCAGTTCAGAATCTTGAATTTCCTGTACAGAAACTGTATGAGAATCTGCACGAAAACTGTATTGTGTATACCGGGCTTAGCAGTATTCAGAATTGTACAGAAGTTTCACTCTCTCGAAACCTTGCTATACAAACGGGTAATTATTTTTCTGTGCATTACAAAGGGGAGGGCTTCCAAAGACTACAGTTTAAATAACTGTGAATTTTTATGTTTTGACGGTTTTGATAAACATGTTCATTGATTTAAACAAATAGTGCATTATACAATTTCTAGCTCTGTAAAAGAAGAAATATCGACTTTCTTGCATCGATATTATTATTTAATAATAAAAGCTATTACATGTTTGTATAAAAAAGGCCTATTTATTTTCATAACAGAACATTATAAGACATAAAATACTGCAAATTACTGAAAAGTAACCTGAATATTTTGGGTTTTTGTGAGAATAGTTTCGAATTTTTAATTCACAAAGACTCTGTATTCACTCAACTTATGACATTTTTTGTGGTCAAGAAGCACTTCAGAAAAAATGTAAGTGATTTTCAGCTTCCTAATAAAACTGAAACGTATAAAAAACAAATCGTCGATGTGCCTCTGAGCTCTCCCCACCCTCATTTAGTAATGCTCCCCCTTCTTTAGTTTTTAACATTCATATGAAGTACACAATTATGATTTTGACGAGAAAAACTTCTGACGCGGGGATACGTGCAAGACACACAAACCTAAGCAATCGTTAAGAGAATGTTTTGAATTCGTGCATTTGTTTACATCAGGATCATTCTGAGGTTGATCAGACCCTAGATTATCGATGCATAAGAAAAGTGACCCATTTCAAAAATCTCCATATTAGAATTAAATAAAAAATTAGTAGATGAAACGACTATTTTTTTTAAAGGTCATAAAAATAGTTCACAACTCTTATCAAAGGTAGAGTAAATAATTTGGTCTGCAGCGAGAAATAAACTCGTTCGGAATAAAATTGTTATTCTAGAAAACAGTTTAACACAACATTTTAGTGTATCACTTTTGTGAGCCGACAAATGCGGAAACGTTTGCAAGTTTCCTCTTATTTATACAGCAAAACGCTAGCACTCTATCATCTAAAAGTATATATTTTCCTTCAAGCAAAGTAATTAATTATTTTAATTTTACTTAGTAATTACATTCGAACGAAGAAAATATATGACACGATATTCCTGCTTTCCATTCCCGGAAAATCCCTCTCTTATGTATCATAAGATGTACTTCACATGTTTAAGTGAATATGTAATCGAATAACTGAAGTAACGCTGGTTTGCCGTCGGAGTGTCCGAATGCGCTTGTTTTCTTGCAGCCCTGATGGCGCTGGAAGTGGTGTGGCTGGTGCTGGGGGTGCTGTGGCTGGTGCGCAACTACACCGAGTGCCCGACAGATCGCGCGAAGGACGCCATGCTCGGTGAGTGCGAAAGTCCCACGAATGAGTTAAATGCGGCAGACGGCGTGGCGAGGCGAGGCGAAATATTCGCCGCGATGGCGAAACAGCCCATAGTTGAATGAGGCCCAAGCCAGTGTTGCCAGTCAGGCATTTACGTGATGTAATAAGTTCAACATGCTCGAGGAAAACCAAATGTTATATATATTCAAATTAAAATAACACAAAGAGACAAAAAGAAAAAAATGACATTATATATACATATTATATCCTTACATATTTAATCCTAATATATTTCATATTCACTGTATATCCTTATATATAGTATATCCACATATAGTATTGAATTTTTTATCGATGAGTGAATGATTAACTCCTTAAATTACAACCAATTCAGAACCCTCAGTTACCGATCTCGTAATTTTCTTTTTATACCGGCTACCAATTGAATAGTAATTTTCTGTAAAGATGTCAGTGACAATGCTGCCAATAAAGTAGTTTAAATAGGTTGCAATCGCTTAAGTTCCCCTAACAGTTCTGAATACAAATGTCCCGTCAGCGCATGGCCTTTCTCATTGTGAATCGCCCTGCAGTTATCAGAGTATTCGAACTAATCTAGATCGATCGCTCAAATTGACAGCAATTACAGAAGTCACCCGTTCGAATGGGAGGCAATTCTGCACGTAAATTGTCAGAGAAACAGCTGCTCATCGCTATGTTCCATTTTGCTTCATATTTCATACCCGACATTTTTTGTTCCAATCGTAAAAAAAATAGAAATATTCATATTTTTCTTAAATCACTCGCGTAGAATTCAACGCGGTTTCACCATATTCAAATACATATTCATAATTATATATTAATTATATTATATTGTATATTAATACTTATATATTAATTAATAATATTTATTAAGTCACATATACAAATACAATTGTGTATGACGAGTCAATATGATGTCTTGGGTGGAGAGAGCGAAGTTACATTAGAGTTCAGGAGCAAAACAAGGGGCCATCTTAGCATTTGCTCAAGGGACCAGCGAAACTGAACAAAACCTGATCGACATTGGGTCATTGGCCTAGAAATTATACTACAATAATGCTACAGATAGATTTGCATATTATACAGGTGATAATTATTTTTAGTAGCAGATAATTTAACATTTCAAGATCTTATTTTAATGCTACTACTTATAATTGTAATAATAATAATAATAATAATAATATTAAAACAATACATATCAATTCTGACAGCAACTACATAAAATTTAACAATATTCATACATTTTATATTTAAAACTTGAAATGGGGAGGAGGAGGTGGCGGCAAGGTTTGACCAGTTTTTTTCTTTTTTCTTCTTTCGATTTGTACACGTAATCCTACTGCAGCACCTAATGCGTCAAGCGAATTCTTCTTTGAAATTAAAAATAATTAAAAACTCATATCTTAATATTGCTTATTCTGTTAATTTCATTTTCAAGCTACAATAACATTTCAAAATATCTTTCGTTTTCTTCATCAAGCACAAAAATGAATATATCTTATTAACTGATGAAGAAGAGAAAGAGCTTTTGAAATATTGGTCTTGTAAGTCGTAAATGGAATAAAAGAAAATTACGATAGGAATTTTGATTGTCGCTATTTTCAAGGAAGAATATTTGTTTATAAAAACGGAAAATCTTTTGAAATAATTGTTACAAAATATAAATATTTCTTAAAAAATCGTTTATATGACCACGGTATATAATAAGGGTTTACTGTATCTATAAGTCGTTAAAATCAATCGGTATTAATGCATCCAATTTATTAAAGATCTCGCTTCTCTTTACGAAATGACGAAAGTCAGGAGCTTCCCTAATGTTTGGTGTAGATTAAGAACCCTAAGACAATCTATAAATACGGTTCACGACTCATTTCAAAGCTTGACAGGTTTCTTTAATGTAGCCTCTGTTCGAAAATATAGGCCCAATTTTTATTTAACTTAATATCAGGCTCTGTAAATGAAATAATGATCGGCTCTCATATCCATATTTCAATTTAATGACAAATTTTATTACATTTTTGTCAATACGTGTCAATTTATTTTCATAACATAATACATTATACTATATTTTACCAACACTTAAAAGACTACAAATATCTCCAAATTTATTTTGAATTACCAGTTTTTGTAAGTGAATAGTTCCGAGTTGATAGTCGCGAATATCTTTATTCTTAGCCAAAGACACTGTGAAAATTCCAGTTATAACAAATACTTGTGATACATTGCATCATATTTTAAACAAAAAGCATATAACACGCAATATAAATGATATTCAGCTTCCTAAAAAATTGAAACCTAAAAATAATCGTCAGTGGAGCCTCCGAGAGCCCTTCCTCCTTGGCATTGCTAGTGTTAAATGTTAAAAAACGATTCAGCGGGTTAGGGCGGCTCGTAGCTGTTCAGGGCGAGTTAAGGATGATACTTTCATTTTACACTAAAGATACAATTTAATTCGTTTTCTAATGTCTGTCCTGTCCGGTCAATGATCTTTTCGATCAGTGTTTTTGTCGTTTTCCTTAATTCGTTAAGAAAAGTATGACATTGCCCCAAGTTTAGCTTCTGAAGATAAATTTAGCTTCACTACGCGCACTTTTTCCGTGTCTCTCCTTTTTCTTGACGGAGTAGAGGAGCGGGTGACTATATTGTTAGCAATACTATAAAATCTAATCTATTGTTTGATTGCCGATACAAACAAGGTTATATGGCTTAGAGGCGAACATTTTTAGTTTTTAAATGTTGGTACTTTCATTCATCATTCAATTATGAGTAGGGCTTCCATGGGTAAAGATTCTGGACACCAATAAAACGTGCGCAGACCCTTCTCTCCAAATATCGCATACAATTTATTGATGAAAATTATTCCAATAAATCAGATAAAAAGATAAAATCACTTCATAAATAAATACGTGGATAATAAAATGTTTTAAGGAAAACAAACTTGAAGATTTTGATCATATCATTCGGTTCTTGTTAACTGCTCATTTGATATAAATTCAAATATTGAAGTTAATTTTAAAGTGCATATTACAAAAACGTGTTTAAATCCTTTTTAATTCAAAACATATGTATCATGGTCAATATTAGTTACAGCCCCTTCTACTGGAGGACCCTTCATAAATATTATTGGAATGTAAATAAAACATCGTTCTCATTAAATTTCTCTCAAAGTCCCTACCCCGGCGTGCGTGGCGCGGCGCGGTGCGGCGCGAATGGCCGTGGGCGAGTGGTGATGTGATTGGTGCGTTGCGGCGTGCGCAGGGCTGGTGATCTGCAGCTGGAGCGTGGTGCTGTCGGTGCTGCTGTCGGTGTGGTGCACGTTCGACGCCGCGGGCCGCTCGTGGGTGAAGATGAAGGAGTACCAGCGCAGCCAGCGCGAGGCCGAGGCCCACGGCAAGTTCCACTACAAGCGCTCGGGCAGCCGCCACCGCAACTGGCGACAGCGGTACGTATCGGCAGCAACTGTACATTACGAAATAGAATGGTAGACTACATTGCACGAGCGCATGTTTTGATAACGAGCGACGTTAGGAGAGAGTTAAAGTAGCAATACAAAATAATTTAGCGAATTTATTGATTAATTATTTATTAGTGAATTTATAATAGCATTATATGTCAAAGTCGCATTTACAACTCATGAAAAGATGGAGCAATTTTAATTATCTGATTTGTTCGATTCATCTCCGCCCTGAATAGCAGAATAAGTATTAAAATATCAGGAAAATTCACTAGATGGCGCTGAATAACCAAACTAAATAGTCATGTCAAGTACAACCCGCAACACTCGGTATTTTGTTTATTCTGTATCGTTATATAACTCCTAAACGAAACGATTTGGGGCATTAAAAATTTAATTTTACAAACGATTTCTTGTAACGAAAATGCTAACGGCCAATGGCCAACGGCCATGTGTATAACGGCCAACGGCCTGATATAAGCGTTTCTCATACCGTAATCTACAGGATGACATTTTGGAACATTCTATTTCATTTTATTTGGGGTGAGGGGGAGAGAGCGGGGAGACGAGAGAGAAAGGAAGATGAACTGGACAGAACAACGTTTGCAGGGTTCCGCTAGTAAATTTGTAAAATAATTTAAATTAAATTTTCGAAACAACTTTGCGCCGACACGGTATTTGATATATCTGCAAAAATTATTGGTCAGCTGATATGTTATCTGCGAAGTTCACACGATTGTTTCACTGCGATTGGCTGAATGTGTGATGATGCAATTATTCGTGCCATAGACGGCAAGTACTTCGTAATCTGTTCCATAACCTGACATCTTATCAAAGATTTCTTGTAACAAAAATTCTGCAATACAAAAAATAATTATATAAATGTTTCATTAACACTACATTTTATAAAAACTTGCGGATTCGGAATTTTACAAAAATAATTAAATGTATAAATCTTGTTCTATTTTCATCAAACAGTTTACCCAATAAACAATCGGCGTTTGCCATTGCCGAGAGCAACACAACTAGTGAGAGAACTGTAAAGCTCAACCAAAAACCAACTGCGCGATATTTGCATCAAGACACAGTCTCAGTTAGCTTACTTTCCTCGAAAGATAACTGAGTAACCGAGCATCGGAATGACGAAAGAGGTCGGCTATAAGTGGTTGAGAAAACCGTACACGCAGGTAATTTCAGAAGTACCCTCACTTGTGTATTGTCAACGCGTCTTTGTGTTATAATCGTAATGCGAGACGAGAAGGCGAAACAGTAATGTTAGTACATTTGACCTTGTTCAAGATATTCGTTGTATGAAACGTTGTGAACGTTATCAACGTGACTTACCGCGATTCGTGTAGCGCACAGGCATAGACTGACAGGGCATCCCGCAGTCCTACGAACGTCGTTTCTCTTCCACTCTTTCTACGACAATGGTGCAAATATTTGTTAGTATTATTTTATTTTACTGTATTTCCATTTTCCATTATCTCCTTTGTATCAGAAAAATGTCTATTTTGTTTTCGATGAGAATTCACGAACATGTGATTTTTATGGAACTTGTATACATCCTCTAAGGTTCATGTTCTACTTAGTTAAAAGTTAGTTAAAAATATATCGATTTCATGTTTGGTAGATTTGTACGCATGCAGTTCAAGTTCAGTGAAATAACAAATATAAAACAACAAGATTGAAAGGGAACGTTTGGAATCGTACTTCTGTGAGCTGAATTTTATTTATCAAAATTACATGAACCTTGAAGTATAAAACTAAAATCGATATTATATAATAACTTGATAAAAAATAGCCTTCGTAAGAATATTTATATTAGCCCGAAAGTGGGAACGTTGGGTCTGTCAGACCCAGCGTCATCTTTGAAGCCGTCTATCAAGTGAACGAAATTATTTCTTAATTTATCCACCAGTCTACCTTCAAATTGAACTTCTTGAACAGATGACGACCATTTGTTTGAGTTTATCAGAAAAACGTGGTGTGCTATTCTCGTTCTAAGCTGTTGATGGGTCCATCTGACCCAACGTTGCCGTTTACGTAAGTTTTATGTAACATGGCCGACTCCTCCAAGAGTTATTTTAACGCAATTAATCCATTTCATATAGAATAATAAATAACTTGCTGAAAAACAATTGTTTATCAAGTGATGAAGTTGCTGATACATTATTTGAGCAAAAATCTTCGCACTGTGCAAGTTCTGAACAAGAAATTGAAGGTGAATCTAAGAATCAGGAAAAGAAACCTACATGTTTGTAATATATTTGTTTATTTATTTACAGTCTAATTTTTATAAATAAATTCGATACTTTATGCTTAAAAATGCATATTATTTTACGTTTTGGTAGGACACAAAATACTTTCTCGGAGAGGTTAAGAAAATCAAAAAGGTCGAAAAAATTATCGTACAAAATGCTTCCATAAAACATAACTGTAAAAGAAATGCTTCCATTATATTTGTTTTATTCATGCACACATATTTTGTTAATATTGAGTTATTAACCTCATGCTACAATTTCCTTTCTTTGTTTGATCTTCGTTCACTATCAATTTTGTTTTTTGTCAAAAACAAGAGAAAAATATGAACTATAAAAAAAGGGAACTATTTTGTGCTTGATATTGGATATATGATTAATTTGCATCTTTTACTTCTTAATAAAATATTTCTGTAATTAATTAGTGCTTTAAATAGGCTCTAAGAACTAGCGGGTCTATTAGACCCAAGGTTCCCACTGACGTCAGGATTTTTCACGTTACCACTGCCGGCTTAGAATTGCAAAAAAATTCTCTTGTTTGCTTAACGAATGGAAAAGAAAAATATATTAATGTGAAGCATTCATGTTGTTCAGAAGATTTCTTTGTTTCGAGCATTTTTACGGTGCAATTGTAACAAGTGATGCCAACCTCCTGCGGCACCCGCTGCCCTCCGCCGCCTCTCGTGTGAAGAGTGTCCTCCGCCCCCTCTTGCGCGAAGGGGCATGATGCGCACTCCATGACAAAGCCCTCTCGCGAGGCGCTCTTGCCACCGCTCGCGCTTCACGCGCCATTTGATGGACATGAAGTAGCTGCAACAGTTCAATCAGCCTGCACGTCTCTCTCAAAATAGCTTATTTAATTCATATTTTGGAAATATTCCTATTATCGTAACGTAGGATTTTTAAGAATTATAAATCAGGAATTATTTAACCCTTCTTTATTCAGAGTATGCGAGGAAAAAAACATCGAGACTTCGAAAAAAATGTCTTTGGAGTTTTTAAGCATATTTTGACTAATGGCATCTTGACGCATTTTCTGTGTTTAAGCTGCAAATAGTTTGCGAACGTTTTATCTGAAACATATAAATTGAAGCACCTTATAAAGTAAAATTACAAATTTCATAAACACGAAAATTACTTATTAATTTCAAACTAAACAAATGTTTTGTAAAACTTTAAAAATCACTGAAATTAACAAGAAATTAAACTCTTAATTGGATCTTACGAAATATGGTAATACTGAACACTTTTCGTCTTTCTTGGAGAAACTTTAAATAGGCGTTGTATACGCAGGATAGCCGGGTAGACAGACCTTGCAGCTAGGTACAAAAGTGCATTTGCAAATCTTAATATAGGCGTTTAGTAAATAGTTTTTATAAGAAATGTCTTTTTATAAATCGGGTTACCTTCAGGAAGAAATTTCACGAAAACTCTTCGTTCTTTCAGAATGTCGTACATGATATTTTTTAAATATCTGGTATTGTGGAGCAGATTGCATTCAAGGCAAAAATATCTGTCCTCAAATTTGTAGTTTTGCAATGATAATTTTTGCACGATTACAATATTTTCTCTTCTCGCAAAGTAAGGTGGGAAAGTAAAATGAGATTTTATTGACTTCTATTACAATTTTAGATGGTATACCAATCTACTTAGTGGCATGGATGGCAAGAAACGAGAATTTCAAAATGAATACAAAATTAAATTGACTCTGATATTCTGAGATTTTTTTGAAGGGGTTTATGTCTTTTGTTTGTTAAAACATATTTAACAACATTACATTGTTTTTGACGCTCAGTAATCGAATCTTCATGGTGTTGCGCGTGGTTTAAGATCAGGCCGTCTAAAGTTGGGTTCCAGTGGGAAAGTGACACATGAAGCGTCCTAAATTAAAATCTCAATGTCTAATCTAATTGATTTAAATGTACATACGGCCAGAATACCTGCCGACACACACGGACTAGGTTTTTCCAAAATGTAAGGAAATGTTTCATTAGTAACCACATCACTTGGCGAATGAGGTAATATTTCCTTTTTAGAAATGGGTGGGAATATGTCACCGACTCGTAAAGAATTTATGTACGTACTTAAAAATTTTCACCTGGGTTCAATACAAAATTAAACATAAAATCTAAAAGCCAAAAAAATTAAAAATCTTTCATGCAATGAATTTATCAGTGAATAAAAAATCAACAAGAACTAAGGCGTTTCAGGAAAACAAATCCTGGCGAACTTTTATTTGCAGAAGTTTGCAGCAACACGACTATAACTTCACAAAACTTCGAAGCGAGCCAGTAAGAAAGAATGTTTAATGCGTCTTAATCGGATAAAACATCGACATCAAAACTTGAAGTCAAAACTTCCTTCCAGTGGCCCAGATCCTCGCCAGAAAGGCAGGAGGGGGACGCGTTTTCATTTTAGAGAAACAGCGCAAACGGAGACTCTGCCCAGCGGACGCGCGCGCGTAAACTGAAAGTTGGAGCGAGATAAAGCCGCCCGGCCGCGCTGCGGGAACCCCGCATTTCGCTCGGCGAGATGCACTTCATTCCCCCAAACGATACAAGGGCCCGCAGGGCTCCCCGCGGCGCACGCACGCGCTTCATTCTGGGGCGCCCTTGAGGCCCTAGGGCAGGAAACTGGGGTTCAGGGGTGGCCACGGCTGCACCGAGCGTCGAATTCGGCCACTAAGGTCTCTTATTGGAAACGAAATCTTGCTCCGGGTCCAGGTCT